TTTGAAAAAAAAAAACACAATACTAGCTAAAAAAACGAACCATGTAGTTAAATATAAATAAATCACTTAATTATAATTTTGATACTTATATTTTACAAAATCTTTATTTTTTTTTGTTTTCTTAAATTTCAATCCCTTATTTTTTAATTATTTATAATTTTATTTTTAAATTTTTTACACAATTTTAATTTCTTAACTATTTATAACTATATTTAATTTGAGTTTAATTTTTGGAATTCCATTATTTTGGATATGACATAATAAGATCAGGAAAAAAATTCACAATTTTGTATTTTTTACAATATTGAAAAAAAATAGTAACTAAGAAATTTGTTAACACTAAAAAGTTAAATAAAGTTACGGAAAAATTCAAAATTACAAAATTAAAGTTATGTAATAAAATAAATTAAAAAAATAATTAAAAATTAAAAACTAAAATTATGAAAAAAAAGAGTTAAGAGTCATAATTATAAATTTTGTAAAATATATAACTACAAAAATTAAAATAAACCTCAATAGTTTTGGTACACATTTTTGGAGAAACCTATTGTCTTGTTCATCCTTGGACCATTTTTCTCATTTAAAACTTAAGAGGCTGGTCCACCCTTTCTTATTGGTCCATCTCTTTCTTATCATAAGAAGTGACCCACAAACCAAGCCCTAACAAACCAAACGTGGCGCAACAAAGTCAACCACTTGGTTATATAAATCAACAAGAAGAATAAAAATAAGGAGAATTTGTGCATGCCAATACCTACAAAGTCTAGTATTCTCTATAGTGGTTCAAAAGTGGTGATTATTTTAAGTGTCTTTATCACCTCAGTTTTTGGAAAGTTATGTTAATAGACTCTCCAGTAACGTGTGTGGGTAAGTTTGGTTGTGTTCTCACCGGACATAAGAAAGTTTGGTTTTGTTGTGTGCTTTAAGTACCTAAAACTCACTTATCCAACGTAATTTTCAAACGTATGCACATCAGCATTATATATATTCATTCACATATACATTCCCCTAAGTAAGGAAACTAGAATCATTGTTTTTCCTCTCTTCAATAATTACATTGTTTAATGAATTTTTTGAATTTGAACTTTGTCAAGTAAGAATGGTAAAATAAGTTAGGTTAGTTTTCAGTCTACCTAAAAATAATAGTTCATTAATTTGACGGTGGATGAAATGGATGGATCCACTTGTTTAAAAAAAATTTATATATTGAATTAAAATAAAATTAATTATCTTAAAAAATATATATTATATTAAAAATAGTATATTTTTGTGTTATGTTATTAAAATAATAAATATAATATAATAGTATAATTTAAATTATAAAAATTAATTAATTAATTTTAAATTATTGATTATAATTAGTTATTTTAATATAAATATAATAATTTTTTTAATTTATCTAATAAAAATATTAATTAATAAATAAAAATTTAAACATTATTTATATAATTAAAAATATATTTTTAAAAAAATACATCTAAAAAGTTTTATATAAAAAAATATTAATAAATTGATCAGTTGACTAGTTATTTAGATTTGCATTAATTAGTTTTAACATTAGATAGTTAAATGATGATTGATTTTGAACTTTCTTCAATGTAGATGATATTAACTTTCAACCAAATTTAGTTATGTTTTTTATAAACAAACTGTTATATTATCATCAAATTATTTTTTTTAGTATACTTAAACAATAATCAAGTATAATTACAATCAATTATAATAATTGTACATCTATTTGATTATTTAAATAAAGTTTTTTTTAATTATTCTAAATACATATTATTTATAAGCCTTCTTAACTTAATTTTATTTTTACAAAATTTATGATTTAACAGTTATACCTAAAAACAATACTAGTATGTCAGTATGTGTGCTTTGTACAACATAAATATTTATTTTACATAATGAAAAATTATAATAAATAAATGTTTCAAATATATGAGATAAATTATGGTTAAAATCAAATATAGTGAATATCTTTTTAATATATAAATTATAATTTATATTTACAATAAATAAGTTATATTATAATATAATATTATAGGTAATAAATAATAACTTTTAAAATTATTTGAAAATAGATAGATTAAAAGACATGAAAGATTTAGAAAATTTCTTAAAATTTTCCATTAAAGAAAAACTTCTAAATACTCTTATGTTAAAAGATAATTTCCTGAAAAGATTATCATTCAAGATAATTTATTCTGATTTTTTTAACATAATATTATTTTAACTCATTCTATTTTGCTTTTATTTGATATTAAAGATAAAAAGAAATATTTTGATTATTAGATTAGAAAAAAAATTGAAATTTAATTTTGTAAATATAAATTTTTCTAATAATAATAATAATAATAACAATAATGTTTTATATTATAAAAAATTGTAAAAGAATTATATATAAAAGTAATTGATCACAATTGTAGAATAAGAAATTAACATAATATTTTGTAAAGTGATAAATAAAAGTACGTCTCTTAAAATCTGGAGGATCTTGGATGGTGAGTGAATCAAATAAAAGTAGTAATATTTTACTTGTTTTTCATGTGATGGTGGTTAAGACTTTCTCATGCACTCACGTGACATCATCATATTTTATTATCTCAAAATGACATATTTCACCCTTCTACTTTTGTTTATTACTTAATTTGTATATTATTTTCTCTTGGTCTTGCTTTGACCACCCAAGTTGTTGGTAAGTAGGTAATGGCATAAACATAGATGCTCTTAGATAGGAGACAACATGAGATGGTTCATATCTACTTCTTCTGTGTCTTATTTTATGATTCTTGGAAATTGTGTTTGCTCAACACAATACAATTTTATAAAAGTTTAAATTTTTTTATGACTTTTATTATAAAAAATATTAAATAATGGAACATGTTATATTTTTTTATAACTATTATTATAATTTTTTTCTTATATTTATCTAGATATAAATTTACTATCATCGTTTAATAAATATAAATATAACTATGTTGTACAAATTATTAAATCATAATGAATTGTTTACTAATTGATTATTACTTTAAATTTATATATTACACTTATAATTATTTAATTAAGTTTGATTCTTGATTTTTTTAATTTAAATATAAACTAAATCGTTAAATTAAAAGAAAAAACAAGTTTAAAAAAATTAAAAAAATTAACATTTTTAATTAGATGTATTTGATTTACAACTCTTAATTTCAATTATTATCTCCTTTCAAATTATTTGTAATTTAATTCAATTAATTTAGTATAAAATAAGTGATATTCTTATTTATTTATAATAGATTGTGAAAACGGGTGATTAGTTACCTATTAAATTAAAAAAAATGATCGATATAGTTTGATTAATATTTTTAAATAAATTATAATTTTTAATTAACTTGACATTAAGTAGTAGACTAACGGATAATTTTTATTTAATTAAAATTAAAAGAATATATTATCGTGTTTATATTAAAATAATTAATTAAAAATAAAAAAATATTTTTAAATTTTAAATTTTATTAATAAATTTAATTTTTTTATCCACTCATAAATCTATTATTAGTTCAACCTAAACCTAAACACATAAAACCAATTAAACTTAATTTAATTTAGATTACGATTTATTTTTATGTAACTTTTAATTTACGCATGCATCGTGACAGCATAACGTACACTGATGGGTGGGACTGCAATAAATAATAAATACTCTCCTAATAAATAAAAAAATATTTTTGGTAAAAACCCACAACCTTCTGTTATTTTATTATTTTCTCTCAAACCGCCTTTGATTTTTTAACTTAACATTGAAAGCTGTTTTCCTCTGCTTACCTATTTCATTTTCTTACATCTTATTTTCAATTTTTATTTCACAATATTACAAGGATGTGATTGTCGTTTACGTAAAAAGAAAAGGACAAATAATATATATTTAATGTTTTAACCAATTGCTCCGATATGTTAAAGTAAAAATTTTCCATATTAAAAAAAATTAACATTTTTATTCTAATTTATTTTTGTTAACTAAAAATTTACCAGTGGAATAGATATATAACATTGTAAAGATTGCTGGTTCAAATTAAATTGCTTACCTTGTTTAAAACCTAATTAGCAACTCATTAATGCAAAATCCACAACTTACAACAAATAAAACAAAAAAAATATAACATTTACTGTCTTTATAGATTGTTGTTAAAATTGAAATTCAAAATAATTTCTAAGAGTGGAATTTGTTTCTCAATTCATTCTTGTAGTTTTAAACACTTATTATCATTTTATTTTGTTTAAATTTATTACGTAACTATATATGATAAGATTTCATTTTATAACTGTTATTTCAATGAAAAGACAAAAATAAATAATTAATAAAAAATAATATATAAAAAGAAAAAACAAAAGACAATTTTTAAACAATTATTTATGCAAAAAAATATAAACATGTTTTATTTGTATTTTCACTCGTTTTAGTAATAAAATTAACATATATGTTTTTTCTAACATAACCATTATATTATTATTTTAGTTAAACATAATTTTTTTTCCTAACATTTCTATAAATTAATCATATTATTATTTTTTCCTAACATTTCTATAAATGAAACAAATATTTAAATTCACTATAAAAAATTAGTTTAAACTTAAATATGATTTGGTTTTAATTTTTAAATAAATTTTATAAATGATATAACGGATCTAAAATCTTAACTTTTTACTGATTAATTTCTATATAAACTTTTCTTCTGTCCTAAACTATAACTATTATTAAGAACTTAAAAAAGAAAGAAAAAGTCAGATTCCAAGGAAAAAGTTAATAGTATTTCAGAGGTTCTTCTTCTGTAGCACTGGCAATAATCTGGTTTGCTGGATATATAGTTGGCTCCAACTTCTCCAGAATGATTCTTCAACACCACCAAACCCTCAGCTACCATTAAGCACACCAAACCTCTCTCTCTCTCCGCACTCACATACACACCAAACGTTTCGTTTCATACCTGTAAACCCACAACAACCACATTTTTACTATGGGCATACTCTACGACGATGTAGTGATCATAAGTCAGCCACAAAAGGACGGCGACCCAACTGTTCTCACTGTCAACTGCCCTGATAAAACCGGTCTGGGCTGCGATTTGTGCAGAATCATACTCTTCTTTGGTCTCAACATACTCAGAGGAGGTACCCATCTTATAAAAATATCTTTTTTAATTTAAACTCCAACCTGATTTTCTTTTTTTCCTTTTTGGGCAATGAAGATGTTTCAACGGATGGGAAATGGTGCTACATAGTTTTCTGGGTGCTTGGGAAACAGAGGACGAGGTGGAGTTTGTTGAAGAAGCGGCTGATTGAAGCATGCCCTTCTTGCTCCTCGGCTTCTGGAATATCTTATTATCGATCTGAGTTGCAGCCGTCCAAGCCTCCTGATGTATTTCTTTTGAATTTTTGCTGTCATGATCGGAAAGGGCTTTTGCATGGTAGTTTTGGAAACTTCAATTGGGAATTTAATTGAGTTTGTTTGCACTCTACATGTGATGTTTGTTCTATTGCTTTTGTTCCTCTTGGACACGTTGGGTTGGTTTAAGACTATGCTTATGTTTGATAATTTGATATCTTCATTGTTTCTATTGCAAAGCCTTGTTTTAAATTGCTGTTTCATTGAGAACCTTGATATTGCAAAATTGTAGACAATTGCAGTTTATGTGTTAGGAATTGTTGCTGTGATGCGGTTCTGATGACTCCATGGTCGAAATGGCAATTGAAGACTGTTTTTTCAAGCCTTGTTTATAGTTTGAGGTCAATAATCAACACTTTGGGGCTTCATTTTATGATGAGGCCGTTGATGACATATTCTAAAATGTATTGTGATTCCAAGCTTCATTGTGATTTATGATGCATATGCTTTGTCTGGCGTGCATTTTCCTCCCTTAATAAGTATATTGATTAAAAGTTATCTGGTGTTGTTGAGATTGTTATTTTGTGACATTGATGTTGTATGGAATTGGTAGACAGAACAACATGACTGAATGTGTTTATAATGGTAGCAGATGTTACTGAGGTTCTTTGTGAGCTAGAACTTACCATCAAGAAAGTGAAGGTATCTACTACACCTGATGGCAAAGTAATGGATTTGTTTTTCATCACAGATACCAGGTTTACATTTTATATTTTCTTTCATCTAATTGTTCGTCTATTTCTGTTGAAACTTCTTGTTCTATTTGTTAAGACTGCAGAGTGCAAATTGTTTTGTTCATTTTGAATGAAATTGACATATTCAATTCAAAGTTCAAAAAGAAAGTAATTATTTGAACTCTGACAATCTCTCTCAAGTGTGAGTCTCTTTTATATTACTTATGAATAGGTAAATTGAACAACATAAAAGTGAGAAAGACCAACAAACTTATTGTTTTAAGGTTTTGGTTAAATTAATGTCAAATTCTCTTATGTTGTTGGTTTGTGGTCCATTGGTGAAGATCTTCCCATTGTTTTCTCCCCTCGAATTGCCCAACAGCTACTATAGAAGTCAATGGTTCATTTTGGTGACTGGCTTAAACAAATACGATCAGTGAGTTATGAATCTTAGGTTTGTGGATCTCTTTAGTGAAAGTCTTCTTTGCAAGAGTTCATGTATGTCCGGATTTGGTGAAGAACAATACAAGGGTCACCACTAAGGAACTTGATGTGGTTAAGATTGTTTTTGCATGAGGGGGAGCATATCAATATAGAAGGGACTAGCACTTGAAGAAGAAATTGTTGGAGTTCAAGTGTAAGTTAGAGTTTCATACTATGTAAAGTAAATAAATTGAGCAATATGTAAGTGAGAAAGATACATAAACCTATAATTTAAGTATTTTGGTTGAAAGAGATGTCCTATTCTCTTGTGTGTTGATTCGTGACCCATTGGTGGAGATCATTTTGAGGTTTGTCTCCCTAGGATTGTCAAACAAAATTTTCTAATTACTGTCATCTTGATGGGCAACCTATTCAGGTCTGTTATAAACATGCTATTTGTTTTGTCCTGGGAAATGTGCTAATACTCCTAAATCAAAGTCTTTTATACAGCTGACTTCTTTCTTTGAGAATGTTGTAATTTGTTTTTATGAATGGAAATTTATTTGATGATATCCTATTTGATGACAAATTCATCTCCTTTGAGAGCTTTACTAATGTAATATACTCCTTAATATTGCATTTGTATCAGAGAACTTTTACATACAAAGAAGAGAAAGGACGAAACAATTGAACATCTAACAGAGATTTTAAGGGATGCCATCATTTCTATTGACATAGAATTGGTTGGCCCAGAAATTACAGCTTGTATCCAGGCATCTCCATTCCTTCCAACTGCAATCACAGAAGATGCCTTTGATTTGGAATTGCCTGATTTGGCTCGTAGCGGAACTCTCAGATCAGATTATGTTTCTATCATGATGGACAACACACTTAGTCCTGCTCACACCCTTGTCCAAATTATGTGCCAAGACCACAAAGGTCTTCTTTATGACATCATGAGAACTCTGAAAGACTATAATATTCAGGTACAGAAATTTGAAATCTTTATAATACTACAATTCTTAAAGTTGATCTTATGCGGCTATAAATTGATTTGTCAGTAGATAAAAGGAAGAATTGATAAACAGAGACTTTATTTCATCTTAAATCTGCAGTTTTTGTACTTGAATACCACATAATGAAATTTCATTTTCCTTCCAGTCAAGCTGTTTGTCTTTGTTTTTCTAAGCTACTTGCACACTGGCATGCAAATACTTAATCATTTTTAGTATCTAAGGGTGCAACCTTATTTTTCATTCAACCAGATTTCTTATGGGCGTTTCACTACAAAACCTAGAGGAAAATGTGAGATTGACTTGTTCATCATGCAAGCAGATGGCAAAAAGATTGTTGACCCGAACAAGCAGAATTCCTTGTCATCACGCCTTAGAATGGAACTACTCCGTCCACTCAGAGTAACCATTGTCAGTAGGGGCCCCGATACCGAGCTTCTGGTCGCAAATCCAGTGGAGTTATCCGGCAAGGGCCGGCCTCTTGTTTTTCATGATATCACTCTTGCACTCAAAATGCTCGGCACTTGCATCTTTTCGGTAATCAATTGTCTTAACATGCTTCCTACTGTTCAGTGAAGTCATAATTTGAATTTCCATTATATCATAACTTCCAACATTCTTGAGTCATTCTCACTTCTTATTATTATCAGAAGTTAGTTTTACTCTATTTAACATACTTTTGTGTTTTTGGTTAAAGCAACTTGAGACATTTGTGTTTACTTGTTTTCTATATTGTGGTTAATTGTTATAACAGGCTAAAGTTGGAAGACACTTAATTGGAGATCGTGAGTGGGAGGTTTATAGAGTCCTGCTTGATGAAGGGGAGGGGTTATCTGTTCCAAGGAACAAAATTGAGGAGGGAGTTTGGAAAATGCTGATGGGTTGGGAGTAATCCATGACTATCTTGGCATTGTATCCTTGGGATTGGATGAACCTCTCTACATGTGTACAGATAACATGGTCTAATGTCATATAGTTTGCTGTTATTAGGAGTAAATGTGAAATATGTAGTATGTAAAAATGGTGGCCTTTCCACGCCATACTTGAGCTTTTGTAATTCTAACTTAATGTATATAAATGAGAAGGCAGTAACAAGTAGAAGACTATGGTAAATTGAAATGAAATATTGTAAAGTGATTATGATGAGTATACACAGTTCTTTTCTATTCTGGTAGCAGTAAACCTCTGTAACCTTTAATCTCAGCCATTTTGATCCTCCATTTTCCATATTTGTTTTTCATCGTGCACTCAATTTCTTTGAAAATGGTGAGAGGCAGAGCAAATTATTTGAGAACATACATGAAGTCCATAAAAATTAGAATTCAGTAGTTCATAGTACAGCAAGGCTTAGGATAAGTGTTTAATGGAAGATTCCTAGTGGTATTTGTAGCATCAAATCTTTAGTCATTTGTTTATCAGAATTTAGTATATTTCCCAATTTGTTTTTATTTTTTAAATACAAAAGAATTCACAGTAAATCTGACAATAAGATTAGAAAGAAGATAAAAAACATGAAAGGAACGATATATTATGAGAGATTATATTTTGTAACGAAGTGAATTTGTTCCCTTATTTGCTTGAAAGAATAATTTATGCTTATTTATTTTGTGATATAATTATGTAAAATTCTCTGCATGTTTATCCCTTACTCCTTGTTTGGAATGTTTGGATATTGGAGAGTAGAAAATATAAATGACAAGAAACAAGCGGAAATAAATAAAAATAAAAATAAATTTATTTATTTTTATAATTTTATTTATAATTTTAATATTCTTTTTTAATTATTTATAATAATTATATATTTTTTAAATATGTTTTTTTTAGATTATCACAAAATTGATTATCTAATTTTAGATATTTAATTATCTAATATATATTTTCATTTCATGTGTCCGTGTCTTTCTGCGCAAAAATGAGGATGAATGTTTCCTTAAAAAAAATCAAAATGTCTATCTCAAATTTCAAACTTTCGTGGCAGTCCTTCTAATCTATCCGTTTGTAGATCTAAACACAGGTTTAGTGATAGCCAAACAACTAAAAGTATAAGCTAAGTTTACAAATATTCAAAACCGTATTTATTAAGTTAAAATAAAATTATAAAAATTATTTTCACCAAAATGTATCTCAACTTTTAAAAATAAAACAAAATTGTAGTCCTGAGAATTTGCAATTTTTTTTTTAAATTGTAAATCAGAGCATTAATTATTTTTATTTTATTAATTCATTCACCAGTTTTTTTTCTTCTAAAATTTTCACTCACTCATAACTACACATATTTAAGAATAAAAATTAAGAGAATTTAAACAAAACAATATAATAATATGAAAGAGATTTTAAAAAAATATCATAATAAAAAACAATAAAAAAATATAAAAACTTTATTTAGTTGTATCATTATAATGAAAATGAAAATAAATTGTTTTAATATTTTTTAATTGAAAAAATAAAACAATAAAATAAAATTAAAGATAATCTTAGAATCGTTATAATTTTTTTTCTTATTAATCTATAGAAGAGAAAACAATAAAAAGAAAATAATAAAACCAGATAAAAAAATCAATTATATTTTTTTATGTAGGAGTGAAAAAAAATTATTATTTTTATTCTATTAGTTTATCTATTCAATCTCTTAAATATTTATTATTTTTTTTGTAAATTAAAAAAAAAACACTCTTTGACAGCGTGTATGATAAGCACAAACTATTGCAAATAAACTATGAAATACGTAATTAATATTTAAATTTATGTTATTTAAAAGAAAAAAAAGTCTAAAGTTGCTTATATTTGATTGTGATATTAAGTTTTTTATTGGAAGAAAGCTGTCCCCTACAAAGAAATAAAGAAGAGAATCAAGTCACTTTCAGTTTTTTTTTTAATTTAAAAATCTTAAATATAAAATAATTCATTAATATATCGTTTGGTGCAACGCTCTTAGTCATTGTTTGCCGACGGACATTCCTAATTTCTGAGGGGAAAACCTACCTTTAATTAAGAGTAATTTCACATACCCTAAACTATTTATAAATAATTAAATATAATAATAAAAAATATATAACGTTTTTAAATAATTAAACACATTCATCATTATATAAACTCGTTCATATAGTATAATGTACTATTAAAAGTGAGCCAATAACTTATTTTATATGCTTCCAATCAGAGAAAGTTAATTCAACATACATTAAATAGACAAATTTCATACAAATGTTTAAAATAAAACGAGAGAATTAAATAACTGAAAAAAAAAACTCAAAATATTTTAACGAGTTTAATTTGATATATATATATATTCGCTAAATAACTTTTTATATAGTCAATTTATTAATAATGATTCAAATACATAGTTTTAAATAGTGATCTCAAAACACTACTCAAGAGTTAATAATTTGAATGAGAAAATATATTTTTATTTTATTTTAACATGCGATTATTTTAAGATTTTCTGTAATAAATTTATTTATAATATTTTATTTGAATTAAAAAAATTATAATAACAACAAATTTATATGTTATGCTTTTATATATATATATATATATATATATATATATATATATATATAAATTATCGTTTAACTCAATTCTAATCTTTATAATAATATTATAAACTGATATTTTCGAATTTTTGGTTTTCGTATTCAAATGTCTAAAACCTCCATGATTCTTGTCATGTTGTCATAGATACTTTGCTTGTAGAATTAATTCACTTGTGTAGGTAATAAATTACCAACTAACCAACTTGTAGAGTGGGTTTGGCAAATAGTACACAAGAAATTGAGAATCATAGCAGGGTCCATCCTTGAATGACACCAAAAAGAGAAACAAAGAGGGAATGCAGCTTGTGCCTTGTGTTTTCCTTTGCTCTTGGAATTTGGACCATCATTTGATGCTTTGTGGGAACTCTTTTTGGCAAGTTTGAGAGAGAAAATTCAGAAGAAAAAAAAAGGCATTTGGACAACTTGAATTATATGGATTATAGAGTGACCAATTTAAACCACCAATTGCAAAGAAGATTTGGAATATTGCACTATTTGTAAGCCCTCTATTAATTAACATGGTTGATTGTGTAATTAGCTAACTACAGTTTCCAGTATATTCCTAATTTGTGCAAGATACCGGCCACCACACCCCAGAAAGTGATTTCTGCAAAGATGACATATAACAGAGTTCCCAACCTCTCTGAGTGCCAAACATTGATAAACACATGATTCTGAATCCAGTTTACCTGATTCATATTTTTCACATGTCATAAAAATTTCAGTTTTTTAGGCACAGCAACTTGAAATCTAACTGAACGAAATACAAGAAGACTGATTTTAACAGAAAATACTTGATCTCAAAATAAATTAGAAAAATATGATTGCTAAATTATAAGTCAAAAGGTATGCTTCTTACTAATGAGTTATCTGGATCCTTGTAATACCATCCATTCACAAATGCTGCAAAGATGCCCTGTGCTGCCATAACAAACACTAGCATTGCATTCATTCCTATCCATTCCAAGAGCAAGAATGGAGTTCGAAACCCCCAAACATCTATCTGTTTCATTTTCAGGAACACTAAATAAGAATCAATATTAAACATAAATTTTGACTATGGTTTTCTATTAGTGACTAATATTCTATTTACCAGTAAGTAGAATGCAGAGAACACAATTCCAGCTGCCCCTGCTGTGAAACAAACATAGCTGAAGCTGTAGAGTTGCTTGTTCATTGGGATGGCTGCCATATTCCATGGACATTTGTTGTCACGTATATTTTGAGCAAAAGGACATATATTTGTTGGTGGGGTTTTAACTCTTGATCAATTTGGCATGTCTTAGAAGCCTTACCATGTGTAAAATGAAGGGTGATGCCTAGGGTCAATAACACAAACCCTAATGAGAGCCATTGCTTGAGTCTCTCCCAATGACCCTGCAAAAATTGTTTCACTCCTTCACTAACATGCACTTATGAAGCAAAACTTTAGGATGTGAACAAGTACAAGACAAAGGGGATGATTGTGTAAAGTGTGTAACCTTGAAGTGAATCAAGACATGCCCATAGTGGATGCCAATGGTGCCAGAGAGGATAGCTGATATGGAACTAGATAAAAAGAAACAAAGAACAGTTAAAAATGTTTTGAAAGTTTATTATTATGAAGTAAAATATGAAATCCCTTTCTTTTTTTATTGATTAAAGATTATTAATTAGTTAAAATATTATAGAATATCTATTTGTGACTAAAACCTTAACAAACCCTCCGGTTCAAAGGGTGCGCGACACCAAGATGGAGCATTCTGACGGAGGGGCCCTTCAGCTGGAGAACTCACTGTGCATGCCTGTAAAACGTTTTGTGAAAAAATAAAATAAAATAAATTAAAAAACCAATTTAGCTAGAAAAATAACAAACATAAAAATAATTTAAAATTAATTATGTCATAAATAGTTGAACGAACCAACCTAACCTCGTTGAATTCAAATTGATTTAGATAGGATCAATCAAGTTTCCTACTACGCAAATTATCAAAATTCTATTTTGAGAAAAATATATATCATTTTGTCTAAAAGTTACACCTACTTTGAACATTAAATGAAGTATACAACATGTTTCATTGTAATCGGCTTATATAAATTAACAGAAAAAAAAATTCATGAATATACATAGAACTCTATATATAATAATTAATAAATAAAAGATTAACATATTGGTTAAGATGAAATTTATAAATCACAAATTTGATATCTATACCAATATCTAAATTTTGTCAGGTGAATGAAAAATGAAACTTTAACCATTGTTTAGAATATTTTGGTGAATAATGAATTTTTAGTCATCCCTGACTTTTACTATAAACTGACCTTCAAGCGAGTCCAAACAGGTTGGGAATAAAGATGATTAACGCCCCAAACTTGTCTATCTACGTAACCAACAGCGTTACATGCAGGACCTAGGTGTCCTCGCATCCCACATTGGACCTAGAAACAGGAAAGTAGCATCAACAAAATAACATAAACCAAGTGAAAAATATTAACATAAAGAGGGAGATTATGTACTGTGTATCTCTTTGGTTCGTGGCTGTTATAATCCACGAAACTCCAATCTGGAACGTAGAGGCTGAAGGTTGTAGCCATGTAAATCACAAATGCTACAAACCCCCCAAACCTATATATGTAAGTCATGGCAAATTCACAATCCCATCAATTGTTAAGTATTTCAATGAACTTTCACTATAAACTACAAGTGGTTCAAAGACTAAGAAAAATAAAATCGAATAGAGAATGAAATGTGTTGTTTTTCTCACCATTGCCATCGATAGGCACTAAGAATGGATATGTGTCCTGGCTTCAGGGTAGAGGGTCTAAGCTTGGTGGTGTATGTCTCTATTAGAGCAACAACACAGTATACAAGGGCTATTCTCTGCATAGACACAATATGCAGAATCATGATTACTCAAGAACTGAGTTATGGAAATTTAATAATGTAATTTCAATTACCAACATTTATTCAATTTAATTGGATCCAAACCTGGAGAATGCCACACCATCTTATAAATCTCATGTCAACTCCATATGAGAGATCATCAGGTGCATGGGAGTATCCACCTGCAAGTCCGATTTATCAATGACACATATGGAATAGTCTAACTCGGGTGGTTAGTTAGTTGAAGAGTGTGTGAATTATTGTAAACTTTTTTGTATGTGTAATTGTGTTCAAATACTATGAATAAAAATAAAAGATGGGTTTGCATGAATCAATGCATTGTCTTCAAAGTTTCATTTATTGACCAATGGTCTAGTACCTCTAGAAGTTCATAATCTCTGTTGTCAAGTTTGAGCTCAGTTTCTGCAATAAGTAGGTTAAAAAGGTGAGCTAGAGAAGTTTTGTTACCTTGCAAAAGAATGCCCCAGAAGAGAAGCTTCAATGTCCTAAGGATTATCTTCTTCACGGCATCCTTAATCTTGGGTATTCTCTGTGTTGTCACGAATTAAAACCACAAAATTATAAATGAAATAATACGAGATATGCTGACTAGCTAAAGTGTTATACTAAAAGAATGAACAAGTAGTCCATACAAATTAATACATTAATGAAATGCCATGTAACGAAGTGAGAGAAAGAGAGTCATAGGTATGAATTAATCTTGGTTCAATTTATTCAAAGTAAAACAGTTTGTTGTAATAAGAAGAGCCAACTATAAACATCATCTTATAACAATACTACCATGATAGAAAACTTCAAAACAAGTCTCTTCAAGAACAATGACTAGACAAATGGAACCAAATAAAACAGAATGAAAATTTAACAGTAGCAATAACTGCGAAAACCTCTTTAAGTAGTAATGTATGGTACCTTCAGTGCAAGGGCTATGGCAACACCAACAATGAAAAGAAAGAAAGGCATAACGAAATCAGCTAATGTACATCCATTCCACGGAGAGTGATCAATGCGTGGGTAAGCTCCACCAGCATCGTCTACTAGTACCATCAGCTGCACATTCAATTACACTTATATACGATAATTTTTACTCTTCTTTCCTTTAAAATATATGTATATGTTAATAGTAAACTAACCACAATGGTGAGACCCCTAAATGCATCAAGGGTTGCAACTCTTTTTGTCTTTTGCTTCACCGATGGTTGCTCTTGCTCCACTATTTGTTCAACGGTCTCACCCTCTTGTGTGCTACTCCTTGTGTCTCTGTCATGCTCAATGGAATCTCCATCACCATTGGTTTTTTCAATTTCCTGTTTCAACTCACCCTTACGGTTATCATTATAGGGTGTGGTGAACCCTTCTTCCATTCTTTTAGCTTCATCCATGCTTGAATATTCACAATTCTTATCTAACCCTTTTAATTCTTTTGGTGGAATCAATCCATAAACTTGTTGCCAATACACAAAGGTGTAGGACATATATATACACACACGTTCAGACGAGACAGATAAAAGGTCTTTGGGAAAAAGACAGAAAATGGAAGCACATGCTCGTTTCACTGGAAACTCTTTCCACTCTATGTAAAACCAATTTATTTTGTAAAATTTACCTGAAACACGTGCCTTAATTTTAGCACATTATTATCTTAGGGGGTGTTTAGATTGTATTTGTTTTAACTAAAAAATAGTTCTTGAGCCATAAGTTCTCCATAATAGAGTTTATCATAAACATTTGAAACAAACAAAATAAAATAATTTTGAATGAACTAACAAGGTGGTGCGTGTTAACGGTGCAGCTGGTATTTTGTTTCTTGTTCTTAATACAGAAACCAGAATCGCAGTAACCGTGTGAGTACGTAATCTAACTCTCAATCTTTCACAACAAAAATCCCTCTTTTCTGTCCTTTTGACCAAAATTTCGTAACAGTACTTTTGTTGATATGTTCGTAGGGAGGATTTATTTTTCGGGCCAAATCTTGTGTTGGAATCTCAACATATGATTCATGGCAGAATGTTAGATTTTGTCTTACATTGTAGCAGCCCAAAAGAAAACGTTTCATCAAAGTAAAGTGAAAGTGTCACTAAAAAATCATAGATTAAAAAGGTATTGACTAGATGTTAGAATTGTTTGTATAGATATAATATTTGATAAAAATCAAATTACGAATATAAAGATTATAAATTTGTACTCTTCTTGTATTTGTTTCTTTTACTGGAACTGTGTATTAATATATTACTAAATAAGTTAACAAATGAGAAATAACTATTGACATCATCTTTTTCTTTTGCTACTTCCACATATAAAATTTATTTATTATTGTTTGAGAAAAACTCCATGGGATATAGCTTTCCTTTTATGTTTGCCCAAAAACAATTCAAGGATAGATTTGTTTGTTTTTTTAAAAACAATGTTTAGTTTTTTTTTTTTTTAAAAACTAAAAAATTGTTTGTAAATGTTTTATTAAAATAATTTGTAAAAAAAGTTTAATTTAAAATTTTTAAAAACTAGAAAATAAAATTTATTAAAAAGATATTTTTTGTTTTCAATAGTGAACGTTTAACCAATAATTATATTCAATTACGTATTTTTATCATTTTAAAAGTCGTTCTTCAACTTTCATTACGATTTTTTTATATGATTCTCTTTCATTTAAAATATTTTTTTAAAATAAAATCATTAAACAATATTTTATAACTTACTTTCAAAATTAATTTTTAAAAATTAATTTCTATAATTATTTTTAAAATTAAAAACAATACTAAATAAAAAAAAACCCTAAATTTTCTCGTATATAACATCCCTTCATTGTACTTCCATATTTGAAAAAGATTGTTCCTAAACATATGCCAATTATTAGGGTTTTAATTAAGTTAAAAAGAAGGGGTGTTGATTACTTTTGGTGACAAATTATTGGAAGTTGGAAGTATTTTTTTCATGTAGATTCCAATTATGCTATCAAAGTCAATCTTATTTTGCTAGAAATTATGGTAACAGCATTATCGCAATATTGATCATTTCATTTTTACAATTATTAGACATTAACTATACCCCCACTATCCACTTAAACAGTTTTAATGTCATAAAATATTATAACCTTTTTCTCAAGCATTAGGGTATCATTTTCCTGTCAAAGATTAATATATTCTAAACATTTACAAAGTGGTGATAGAGTTTACAAAGTGTTGAGAGAATAGAGGAATTTATATATATATATATATATATATATATATATATATATATATATATATATATATTTGTATTTTTTATTGTGTTAAAACTATTATTAAGTATTTGAATTTTTTAATTTTTTTTCCTTATTTTTATATATTTAAATCCGCTTACTGCTGTTTTATAATAAATTTATGTTTAATTGAGAGTGTACAATTATAAAGTATGTAATTTATTTGAATAGATGTATGGAATTTTATTATATATATATGATACTAATTATTATTAATTTATATGATTTAAAAAATAAATTATTTCTGATTTAGGATTTTAGATCTGTTATTGGCTACTGTTAAAATAAAAGACTTTAAAAAAATTGAGAGAAAACAAGAATAGTATTAATAAATTGAATGAAATAAGTATAAAAATTATTTATAAGATTGTATAAGTAATTGTTTACAATGAAATGAAAAAAAAAATAATTGAAAAATGTGGGAATAATTATAAAAGTTAACATGGACAAAATACTTGAGCACCATGCAAAAGTTTCACTAAATGTTTAACCACCTAATCCAAGTAAACTAAACAAGACTTAACCAAAGAAGAAAAAACCAGCTTTATCCTTAACCACACTTTGAAGGAGTCGTTAACATCATTAACTTAGAAAACAGAGTTACCAAAGGTAGAAGACCTAATACTTAACCATCGGGATCATAAGCTATAAATTTGATGCCTAAATACCTGAAACAAAGCCAATAAATAAATAAAACTCAATATAAATGTCAATGCTTAACCACCACTTGTTTAAAAAATAAAGGAGTCAAATAGACAAGAAATTAATTGAGAAAAAAATGAATAAAAAAATTGAATATGTAATTATTTGGTAGAGTAAAAATTAATAAGTTGTAGATTAAAAAAATAATAATTTGTTTGATTCGATAAGAGATAAAATGTTTATAAAAAAAACGTTCATTTACGTGAATGTTTCTGATAAATAATGTTTATAGGAATATGTATAATTGCTGAAAATATGGATTGTGTATAATAATTGATTAATATACTTTATAATAATAATAATAGCTGATTAATTTAATTTATGTATAATAATAATTGATTAATTTAGTTGAGACTATGGAAGTGTAATAATATTTAATCCACTCCCATTTTACATATGAAACAGAGTATAAAAATAGAAGTTAACACCGTGCATGTCTAAACCCTAACTAAGGGAAGGAGCCAAATAGGATTTATGTTTACTTGGGATATATTTGACAAAATTATGAAAAAAGTTAACTGAAAAAGAAGAAACCTAGCTAGTGACCAAAAGCTGAATGAATTTGGCTTATTAAACAATAAATATCCATTAAATTATGTGTAGAAGTATCTTTAAAATATAAAACAACAAAAAGTGGATACGTTCCGATTACAACTTGCTAGTAGAAAACAGATAATAATTGAATAAGTCAGCATCAATTTCTCATAACACAATAATGCAAGAGCAATGGATATATAGTAATCATTACATTAACCCCATTATGGTTAATTTCACCAACTGCACTTACTCGTAATTTGGTTCTTCGTTGCAATTATCAAATGCCCACAAACTCCCATGTTCAAATCCCCATCCAACTTTATTTTATAAAATTTCTTCATTGTTCATTACATTTTACATGAAACATAGGTAAAAACTCCTAATAAATTCTAATTATATATATATATATATATATATATATATATATATATATATATATTAGAATCGCAGCGTGAATGTTCGCGTGGTCGGACAAAAATCAAGAGGGGAGTGAATTGGATTTTTAATAAAAATTAGGTTTTCAAAATTTTCCCCAAATTTTACCGATTAAAAACTGCGTAAATGTAAATAGAGAAGAGTAGAGAAAATTACACGAGTAGGTTTGTACTTGGTTCGGATCAAAAGACCCTACGTCCGGTTGCTAATCACTCAAAAGAGGATTAACGCTGTCACTAAGAACAAATTGTTACAAACAGATTACAAATGAACGAGATAAAGATCAGAAAACACCTCTCTTGAAATCCACAAGAGATGAAGAACAACTTTCCCTAGAGACGGCACAACACACAATCCACTAAGAACTCCACTTAGTGATTCTTATCGCTTCTAGCCTCACACCAGGTTCCAAAAGCCCCCTTTCCTTGCAACAAACAGTTCTCAGGCACTCACGACACTTAACTTTTGTATGGAAAGAGTTGTTCTCCTTTTCCGAGTGCCAAAGCAGAGTTTAAGTAGGGAAATTAGGGTTTAGGAATTGGGGATTTCGAAACTAGGGTTCTTGGTAATTGGGTTTTCGAAAATAGGGTTAATTTGAAATTTAAAATGAAAAACAGATCTGAAATAATCGATTATTTGGAGTGATAATCGATTAAAACGAGCCAAATACGTCGGAACCCAAACCTCTTCGGATTAATCGATTATTTGGTGAAATAATCGATTATCCAGTACGGATCAAGTACAAAACAATCGATTATTTCTGTTGTTTTAATCGATTAAAACGGTGAGTTTGTATAGAAAGTGTTTTCTCACTTGTTTTAATCGATTATTTACCTATATAATCGATTAAAGTCGAGCCTAAATGATAAATTTGAGCTTTTTGAAGCTTCTAAGTTACGGACTATGTACTAGGCTATCTTAGACTCTAAAAATACGGACTCAATCTTAAATAAAACGAGTTATTACAATACAATTATCACCAATCTTCAATCTTCAATATTCTAAGTCTTTAGTTCTTGGATCATCATCAAAATCCATTCTTCATATTCATCAAGTGCAACATCAAGTCCTTGAATTGTCAACAATCTCCCCTTTTTGATGATGATCAAAATTTTCTTTTAAAGCCCTTTGTAATAACCTGTTTTATCCGTCATACTAACAAACACATTAAACATACCGGATAAAATTTAAAATTGAATCATAGGCTTTAAATTTTTCTCCCCTATTTTGATTATAATAAAAAAGAACTCTGCAACATCAATCATAAGAGCTCCCCCTCAAAATATGCATAAGTTAGAGAAAGCTCCCCCTCAATCATAGCATGAAAGAAACATCAAATTTTATTTCACAATCATTCAACCATTACAACATCAAGACAATAACAAAAGAAAATACATTGATTCTCTCTATATCAGACAGTTTTAATCGATTATTTCTAGCAAATAATCGATTGTCGGAGGCATTGAATCGATTATTTCACCAAATAATCGATTATTCCGGAGGAGAATACCCTGTTTTGGACGTTTTGAGAAAAAATAATCGATTATTACTTCCGATAATCGA